TAGTCAAGAAAAATACAAGAATAGGCCACTTGCCTATACAAGCCTATTCTTCAATGCCGAAGATACTATACTATACTAAACATACTGGTAGTTGTAGAACCTATCTGAAACTATTTGCGAATATAACCGATCGCTTACCAACACTAGAAATGTTTTGTATTAAAACTCAAATTTTCTGCTTATTCTCAAAAAAGGTTTAAATGTAAATCATTTATAGCNGACATTAGACTCGGAAATATAGTATATTAAAATTGAACCTGTAGAAATAGTTTTTTTTATATTAGTGAACTTCGGTTTAGACACAATGGTAAAAAAATTATCGTGAATTTAGCTAGGTAAGTTATAGTTTGTATTCAAACATGACCCTAAAATACGTATAGGATCAGGATTACAGTCCTTAGAAGTTAACACTCAGAAGAATCATTGGCTCATATCGCCCATATTACGACACACTCTCCTACCCACAACACGTGCAGAAGGCAAATGAAGGCACTGATGCGTCATTTTACCGGGCTTAAGTGGATCAGGATGACGCACACAAAAGCAAAATCTGCATCGCAATATGGACAAGCCTCACTCATTTCTCTGAATGAACCCATGTTACTGGCTTATATCCAATAAGCTGCAAACTTCAGAAGATGAGCAGAGCTGGGCAGCGCTACTTTGAAATGTAGCGGCCGCTCCCGCTACCGCTACATGCTCTAAATGTTGCCGGCGCTACCGCTACCGCTACAATTGCTTAAATGTAGCGCTGCTACCGCTACATGTAGCGCGCTCCTGCCCATCTCTGAGGATGAGGTTGTAAAGCTGCTCGCAAACGTCCATGATGAACCCATAAATGGTATAATAATAAGTATTATTAGTTATTAGTTTTATTATTTATTATTTGGTATTAGTTCAACCATACACCAAAAATAGCTCAGTCAAACCACCAACGAATGGGTCTGACTCATTATACGAATATCTCTTACGTACGAAACATGGACGGCCTCCTCGAATATCAGGAGGCATGAGAACGTGTGGAAATGACGATATTTATGAAAATGATTATATGTGCAAAATGAGCTGTATATCTAAAAACATAAATTTAATCAAATACATATTTATTTTTTTCATGATATGTTTAAATAACATATTATATACTTTTTAAACCAGTATATTTCCTGTAAATCTATGAACGAAGGAATAAATAAATTAATGTTTTTAATTTGCGATTACATTTTAAGCGATTACATGGTAGATGAATGGCGACAGGCCTATCCAGGCCTATTCTTCAATGCCGAAGATACTATACTATGAATGAAATGTTAAGTGATCAGATGTGTCACGGATTGACATGTAACTCTACCAATATGGCTATATCTATACTTTTTATATACCATTTAAATTCAACTCGCTAAGTACTTCACTTTGTTGGGAACAATGAACAGCAAGCCTACGATCTGAGAATCGTGATTGCATCAAGAGATTGGTGATCGAAAAAAACGAAAAAAACATAAACCCGTATTTACAGTACAAGTTCTTGAATACAGGTCATCATTTATTGTTTGTCAGATCGGATACACCAACAAGTAGTTTAACCGTATAACTTCAAGATGAGCAAGCATAAGAATATTTCCTGTAAGTCAAAATGTAAGTATATCATTACTTGAAATCTCTGCACACACAATCTTCATTACATAACCGACGAACGGCAATTTTTTCAGACTCACTACCGATGATTAACCTTATTGACAGGAAAGTGATATAAAAAAATTACCGCTGGTCCCGACGAACACTGAAGCTAAAGTGTGTGTTTGAAATTTCATTTAAAACAATAAACAGATATTTTAAACGACCTATTGAATCAAAGCTCGCGGTCAACGGCTGGCGATCTAGGCCGCCATGAAGATATATGAGCAATTAAAATGCAAATATGTATCAACAACATCCTATAAATGATCTTAGTATGAGTATACCATAAAGTTGAATTTTAATTTGTTCACAACTTGAAGATGTATTTCAGATACAAGGAAAATATCTCAGGGTCATATTTAGTGACGGAGTTCCTTTAATTCAATGATATAGAGAATACTGTAATAGAATATAATAGAAATGTCGGCACTGAAGAAATAGGCCCATGGCCTGTTGCCGACTCTTGAATTTTTCGTGACTTAATTCACACGGGATCCGGCCTTTGGAACCCGATCTTTCCATAACTATCCAGAATATAACTATCCATAACTATACAGAAATATATTTTAATAAGACTTAACTATATTCTGTTTAAAATATTACTGTGTCTCTGTGCTCATATTATAAAGCAGCGAGATTTTCACAGCTAAGTTCACAAAAATCTGTTCGCGTTTCAAGTTGATTAATCAAGCGATATCTTTCTACAGAAAAATGTACAATTACTATATAATTGGATTACCGTAGAATGTAGTCCGCTTTAAAGTGCTATGTGGTTTAAAACAAAATTACGATCGTAATTTTTCGTTCATCAAGAAGTTTTAACTTTAATCCACGCTGTTTTTAATGTTGCACCATACAAGTTCTACTCGAATCTCCAAGTCACAATCGATGCAGTTATGACGCACTTGCTTTGTACTCGCTCAGTTCAGCGGCTGCGGCTGTCATGGCGTTTCGTTGCATCAGCTGAGTTCTCATCTAGTTAGGCTCTAAATACACGGTAGAGCCAGACGCCAGTGGTCTGTGGTTTTGCTATAGCTCACTGTTTTAGTAGTATTCTGTCAATCAAGATATAATTCACAATTAGTAACCTGTAACTATTCATAGAATAATAAGTGTTTACTTCAGTGATGGAACTGCAAACGGATGTGCTGTAGTTCTATTCTAATGTTTTTCTGACTCACTTATCACTAGAGACAAAGAGACTTAGGTTCCCTATTTTAGTGTAGTATAAGCTTTAGAAGTTCGGTTATTACATACTGTATTTTATGATTGTACTGTGTATTCATACTAGTTCTAATCCTTGAGTTAGTAGTTTTAAAATAACATGTAGCTTACAGTAGCTAAGGCCCCACCCCCAGGCCCCTAAGACAATAAGATACCTACTCTTTCACTCCAGTGAGTCCAGTCTTTGGTCCAAAGTTTGGACTTTGGACTCTAAACTTCCCATTCCCAAGCACAGGCCACAGGCCCATTAACTAGTCTGGAAAAGTCCTATTTTTGTCTGAAATATCGCGGCTCTAATATCATATAATTTCAGTAGGTATGAAATCTCGCGGCTCGAATGTCATAAATTTTTGTTTGATTAAAAAATCGCGGTTTGCACTTCGCAAACATGTCATTTCATAAAATTTTCAACTTCCGCAATCCGCATTGCTTTACCGTTTCCGCCAAAAATATCTTGCAGATTATAGGGCCCATAGTCACATATCTCATGATTCTCATCTGAGTCATCTCATACTCATAGTGATAAAAGAAACATCACAGTCAATGGGTCAAACAATAGATTTTTCAGAGAACAGTTCATTTTTTGTTAAGTACAATTTCATTCAACATCACATGATTGATGATTCAAGATCTTTGTAAGATACTTTGTTAAGTATGTTTGTTGGTATTCTAATCCAAAGTGAAAATCCTAAGTGGTCTAAATTAAAATCTAAATCCTTCTATTAAATGATTAAATTGACAATAATGCCATCATCAGCTAGAATATGGCTTATTTCACCCATTCCTAGGCTTTTTCCTATTGTGTACTTAGGCCTATAATAATAATTAGAAAAGAGGTAATTCATTGGCGTATAAGTACGTACATGGACTGTACAGGGTGTTAAAGCCCAAGTTCCAGACTTCCAGTTATCAAGCAACAGGGATACTAGAGGCCAGTCTCTTAAGCTCTCAAAAGGCAGATGACGACTCAGCGTAAGGAGCAACTTATTTTCACAGCGAGTAATTAACTCATGGAATGATGCTGATGGAATAGTCTGCCAGATTATCTGTAAACAGCTTCAAGAGCAGGTTCAACAGTTTCTGGAGGGACAACCCAGCCCTGTACAGCCCTTCATGCTACGAGTGATGAGGCTCCGATCATCTTGGAACAGACACTGCAACGTTCGCGGTGCTGATAAACATTGTTGTCGACCCATGAACAGGACCGTCAAGGACCTTAAATTGCATTGTCAAAGTCAATTTGTCTAGCGCCCGACCAAATGAGAGTCTTATCATTCTTATGGTTCCAAAAATGGCAGCGTAGCTCACTTGGCTGTAATTGCAGCTTGAAAGATATTAAACGTCAGAATTATCTCGGCATAAAATATATCTTCAGAAGACTGGGGCACTGGGCCTGCCAAGCAGCCAAAGTGTATCAATTGACAATTGTGTAGGCAGTTCTATTTGCAATTGCTTTAGTGATTATTCATGTAATGACTAACATCAATGCACAATTTATTGGAACCTAATACACACTAAAGGCAACAAGTTTATAGTCATATACCAGTAATTATTATATGACTATAATTTGTCATTCATAGTACATTTATACTAAACCTTGAATAACAATACCTCAATATAAATTAAAGACTGCCACTCAATATATTTAAATATATGAAATAATCAAAAAAATCAAATAAATCAAAAAAATTAAAAAAAATCATGATTTTTTATAAAAAATCAAGTGATTTAATCACGTGATTTAATCATTTTGATTTGATCATTGCCAACCCTGTGGCCAATTAACCCAGTTTTTCCTTTTTCTATGGCATTCTTCTAGTTTATTCTGTAAAAATGACAAAAACTGCCTATGTTTCCCCACAATTTTGAAAATCACTCTCCAATCAATCATTATTATCCGCAATTTTAGGAAACTACTTTAGCAAATATTGAAGCCTTTGAAGGAAATAAATGCTAAGGCTAGATTGGAAAAGTTTCAATTTTCATTGCTCTAAATTCTTGATGCTCAATTTTTGGTGAACTTGAATTTCCATTATCTTTAGATATGATGTTGGCTGGGATGTGGATATAAAGTGAATAAATAAAAATGCATGTTTTTTTCCAGAAATATTTTTCAGATTCTTAAACATTTCTAATTAATGGTCTGTAAGCAAGATTGCCATGATGGAAGAAATGGATGACCTAGATGTAGAAAGCGTCTCCTCTGATTACAGCATCTTACCCGAAGCTCATGAGGTGAGTGTAACATTCAACTTTTCCCACTCATTCCATCTAAACTTGTTCTGTGGTATGAACTATGAATGAATGTGTTTAATTGCTGCAGTAATGGTCACTAGCAACCCCAGCAATATAAATAACAATGTGAATAAAATATTTATGTCTCTTGCAGATGGATGGAGTTGCCCAGCCATACTTGGCTACAAGACCTGATGCAAACAGCAGTATCAGCAGCCATACCCAGGTGAGTTGTAAATTTATAACTCATTCATTCAGTTTAAACATCTTCTTGTCATTTGTACACTAGTTTCCATACTGGTTACTGCTTACTGGCAATGTTCAATGATTGCTTCAACTGGATTGAGATGCTTGATAATTGTGCTTGTTATTGATGAAATAATTAAGAACACTTAGTTTTAAGTTTAATATAGCTGCACAAATTTTACAGTGTGATGATTCCTGAGAGGCTGAGAATGATTTCACTTGTGAAATTATTGATTTGGCTTGAATTGTTGTCACGTGCTGTAAGATTTTATTCCAAGTTGGCAAACCTCAAGCAGTGTAAATGTTCTTTCTTCATGAATATCTAAGACAAATTTTGCCAGTTTTTAATTACTATATATTGTGCAGGTTGAGTTTGTAAACATGTGTAGCAGTTATCCCAGCTCGCAAGATCTGGTTCTGTGTTACACATTCACAGCAGAGCATGTGCCTTCTGTCACTGATAGACTTGCTCTCTACAAAGTGGGCTTTACCACTCCACAAGTAAGTTTTATGTCTGATATATACCTGGAACATATTCAAATTAAGATGACAGTAAACGTCCATTATTAACACCAATAATTATTTGTAACATCAATATTTAATACATTTGAGCATGCAAAAACTAGTACTACGTATGTTGTACAATTTTATTTTTCACTGCACAATCAGTTAACCACTTCCCAACTTCTTGATTTCCCTCTAGTGCCAATTCCTATGAAAAATCAGTTCTAGAGAAACAAAGAAAAAATTAAGCAATAATTGTTTAAAAATTTATTTTACTAATTGTAAAATAGGCTACTAATATTCATATAGATTTGATCATTTTCCTAAATAGTGGACAAATATAATTTTCCAATAGCAGTATTACTGTAACCTTGAAATCATTGTACTTTTTAAATTAGTTTTTTAAATTTTTAACTGGCAAATTTTATTACACCACATGTACATTCCTAACGTAGCTAACTCCTCTGAATTTTATGCTATCATTAGTTTTGTGCTCTAGTTTATTTTTTGTCTTTGGTGCAAATAGGATGCTTAAGCAGGATGAAATCCATCTTAGACAAGTTATTCCGAGGGAACTCTGAAGAATTCAGTTCTTGTTATGCAATATAAATATACCAGGCATGCTAATTGAAAGTATAACCGCTTTTTTGAAAGCGAGTTTAAATTAGAGAAATATTAACGTAAAGCCCTGACCTCAGGACTACCTGGTATACGAGTGGGCACCCATGCAGCCTCAAGCAGCTCCTTCATCTGATGCTGCCGATGGCAGAATCTTCTGTGTTACCTTCTCAAGTGAGTTCACTTTTTAGCGCATTTTCTCATTTATGAAAAAAGGCACTATTGTGCTCGCCATGTCCGCCCGTCCGGCTGTCCGTCTGTCTGTCTGTCTGTCCGTCTGTGATTTCACTTTTTCGTTGACGAGAAAATGCGTGCTGTCACTCACTGCAGTGAGTACGGAGTTATATTATTTTCAAAATGTCAGCAAACAGTGGTAAATATAATTATTAAAACTTGTTTTGTCGTTAAATTTCCTGCAGTCAAGAATCATTTACCTGGAAGACATCTTGTGTTTTTTTATGAAATGAGAAGTCAAAATTTTCCCTATTCATTTAACCAATTCTCCAATTCCAAACCAATTCTCCAAAACCCATTCTTCTAACCAAGTGATTCCACGCAACGCCCTCCAAAGCAAGTCTAGAAGTTATTTTGATATAGGTACGTACTATACGTTAGAATTTGATGCAATCCAAAAAGTTCTAGTCAAATAATACCTGAATATTGTTGATTTCTTACTGCAATAGTAGTGCCTCTTATTTAATGTAATGTAACCTACTTGAAAACATTAAGCCTATTTAATACCTAGTCCTTATGGCCTTCTGAACGTATGTGTGCAACCTGCTCTGTGTCAAACTTAGGCCACAAAAATCAACCATAGTTACATAAGTAGGTTTGATTCACTTGGCATCTAAATTCCTGCAGAGTCAGGCCTGCCTGGAGACGCCAACGAGTTCTACCAAGTGTGCTACCTGAGCGAGGACCGTCTCATCAGGGGCGTGTCAGCACCGTTCCAGCTCGTCCAGGACGGCAGCGCTCAGTCCAGCCTGTCCAGTGGAGCCGTCTCCAGCATCGAGCAACCAGACGGCACTGTACTGGTCACCACTGACGTGTCGTGTCTGCACACCAACATCAACATGGTCTGTGTGTTATTAAATAGAGTCTTTCTTTATTGGAAACTCGTATGCAAGGTCAGAATGTTATTAACACATTGACTACATGCGTACCACGAAATGTATTTCTCCAGGAGATAGTGGTACATAATTCTGGTTGCCTAAAATCGGCCAAATCCGAGAACAAAAAAGGCCGATAATTCAATGTATATTAGTTTATTTGTAGGTTCCGCTATAGGTGCAAATTTCATTTATTTTCTTTTTGCAGTATTTAAAATTTAATTAGGAAGTACCCCTATCATAAATTTTAGCCGGCCAACGCAATTGAGAAAAACTGAATTACGGAATTTGTCCGGAAAAAATGACCGTCTGGCAACCCTGCTTAAAAAAAAGTACAAAAAATGAAATAATAGTACAAGATGAAGAAATCGTAGTCAACGTGTTAACCCCACAGTGGTTGCGTGCTAAAACTGAACAGATTTGTTGCTTTTTCGATCTGTTTAGTTTCGGTCAAATTTTGTAGGCGTCGATTTCATATTTGACTCGCACGACCACTGTAGGATTAAAAGGTTAAAATAGATTTTTAATTTATAGGAAACTCATAGTGATGTTCAGGTTACTATCAAATAGATAATTTTTTATTGGGAACTCGTAGTTAAGGCCAGAGTGCAGCTAATACAATTTTTTGTATAGTACCGTAAACTCGGAGTTAAATTTTGAAATGGTAAAGAAAATAGATTTCATAGATAGAAAACATAACATATCAAGGGCTGTTATGCAAGACCATCTATGCCATCAAAGTTCTTGAATGGTCCCATTGTATGAGGATGTAGATGATTAATATTTTTAGTCCTCGATTTGGTCCCATCGTTCTGTTGAATTCAGTTATAGTTTACTAATTTGCCACAGAGTAATGGTATTACCAATGGAAATGAGAAGCATTAACGTGTTTGTGTATGCTATTTTTGGTAGGTAACTTAATTTGCATTAGTGTGTTCGTGTTAAAAAGCGTGTACTTTTGGTAATTTAATTTGCTGAAATTTGTTCACAGTTGCAAGCGTGCGTGCAGCGTGTGCAAGCTGAGAAAGTTGCTGTTGAAGAACAACTGGCAGCCGTTCAGCTGCAGCTGCAGGGCAAGACTGAGCAGCTGCGCGACCTGCAGCTCAAGATACAGGTGCGTGGACGTGGGTGCGTGTACGTGGGTGTGTGGACGTGGGGGACGTGGGTGCGTGGACGTGGGTGTGTGGACGTGGGTGCGTGGACGTGTGTGAGTGTGGACGTGTGTGCGTGTGGACGTGTGTGCGTGTGGACGTGGGTGCGTGCGCGTGTGGACGTGGGTGCATGTGCGTGTGGACGTGGGTGCGTGCGCGTGTGGACGTGGGTGCGTGCGCGTGTGGGCGTGGGTTCGTGCGCGTGTGGACGTGGGTGCGTGAGAGTGTGGACGTGGGTGCGTCTCATCCAGGCTTAAGCACGTAAAAGAATATCAGAACTCAAATGAAAATTATGCAGAGTTCAATCATTGTGCAACAGTCCTCTCGCGCGTGGTCGATGACTAATTACCGTACGCGTGCACACAAACGTGAATTTAGTTCAGGAATGGTTTCATTTTTTATGTGACTACATGATCTAGGATCTAGAGTCTAATGCCGAAAAGCTTCCTGGTCAATGTTACCTCTGGCGCTTGGGATAACTCTGACTGCTGTAACAACATGATCAGTAAACGCACTCAAAGTGGTCTTGAATTCAGCATCCAAAATGAGCACCAATTTAAGATAATAACCGACCAACTGGAGAAGATCTTGCTCCTATTTCTGTTAAATGAGGACACAGACTTTGGTGTCCTGTATTTGCTGAAGTTAATATCAAAAACATAGTATGGGCGGATTCTGTGTGATGCCATTCCAATAAGCTGGCTACCACAGCAGAGGCGTTATTCTTTGCTTATTGCTCATTTATGCTTTGGCACAGCAAGAATTTTTTCATTCCATGCCAGAAAAAAGAATGGACATTTGATCAATGTGTTCTTAGCTGGTCAAGCCCTCCAACAGCTGCCATTACAGTGAATCACCAAAAGCACATTCACTTCAAATTTGTGCTTGATGGTCATAGCTAGTGGTTTTCTACCTAATGGAAATAATTTAGATATTAGGCAAATTCTACTTTAGGCTTGCAGAATTTGTTCTTTTTCAGAGAAGGGGTTTTATTAGAAATTTTCTGCTTTCCGATCTACCAAAAAATTTGGTTCGACTAATTATAAAAAAATTATAAAGCCATTCTCTTTTCTTCAAGTGAACTTCTGGTTTATTGACCAGTTTATATTTAAGCTTAAATCCTGGTAAATTTATATTCAAGTTTATTGACTGTTTCTACTTCTGATGAGATGAGTGGTGTCTGGTTAGATTTTAAGTCTGCTCTATACTGGAAAATCTAGCGAGCGTCGTTACATTAAAAACCATCGACTCTGCAGGATCTGTCAGTTGCGGCTGACAAGCAGCAGCAGGCGTCAGCTGCTGCTCTGCTGGAGGCAGAAAGTCGCCTGTCTAGCCTACAGCAGGAGCGTAATGCTCTGCAGGAATCACTGCAGGCTGCGCAGGATGAGGTCGACCGACTGCAGGAAGAGATAAAGTTGCAAGTTCGCCACAACGATGATGTGCTGAAAACGCTCAGCCAGGTCAGTTCTATGCACGTGTAGTTTTCAGGTTGTAATTATGATTACAGTGATTACGCTATGATTGCAGTGAAAAGTTCTCTAGCGTTGAAAAATATTTCAATGAACGAAAAGTTCAATGTCGATAACTGCGAGCAAGGAGTTGTTTCTTCTTTTAGTCTATCTATTATGTGTTTGAAGTTGCAGTTACTGTGCTGTTTTCGTTGATGCCGTATGCTTTTTCGATATTAAAGGTGCATTTTTTTGCAATTTTCACTCGTTATGAGCCGCTACAGCCTAGCTCCGGAATTTCCTGTTACAATTTCATGAACCTTTATGTTGATTTAATTGCGCACCTAACACTTGAACACAAATTTGAATGTAGTACATCGCATATTGAATTATTATGTCTTGTTATAACGTAGCATGTCGTCTGGCGTGTGTTGGAAATGAAAAAAAATCACCTTATATCACCATTAATTCTCTCTAGTGGATTTCATTGACTGGTCTTCATCATGCATCAAATTTTGACATGAAAATTTTCCATGTCTTGAGTTACAGTTCAAGAAATCGTAACATTTATTTTTCTTAAGGTCGTATGTGGCTTATATTAACTTGTGTTACGTCTGGCAGCGCGAGGAAAACTTGGCGGAGAAAACTGCTCAGTTACACGAGAAGCAGGAGCAGCTCGCTACCGCCATGAATCAGCTGCAAGCTCTCGAGGCCAAACAGGAGGTAAGGGCAATCTCAGTTTCCCTTGTCATTTACCGTAGGTATCTTTTATAGTTTTTAGTGCATTTTCTCATTTATTGAAATATGCACTATTGTGCTCGTCATATCCGTCTGTCTGTCCGTCTGTCTGTCTGTCCGTCTGTCTGTCTGTCCGTCCGTGACTTCATGTTTTCGTTTACGAGAAAATGCGCTCTCTGTCACTCACTGCAGTGAGTACTGAGTTATATTTTTTTCTATTATATTAGGTTAAAAGTTTTGTTTGCATCAATGCAGTACTTCCTTAAATTTAGATCGCGCCCTACTGATAGGTAATTGAAATGTGAGTGGTACATGAAATTGCAGTTTTCTATAATTTTCAAAAGTGGGTTTCAAAATTTTGTTGGAAGAAGCCTCTCCTCGTGCTTGAGGCGCAATCTAAAAAATTTCATTGCAAAAATCTAAAAAAAACGCGCTCCTTTGTAGATACGCAGTATTCACACCTACCGCTCCATATCATCTATTTTCCAAATGCAAAGCGTCCTACAATCTGAACTGCTCGCACATTTTTTCTGTCACTACGTTAATCCCTCAGCTTCTAAGTAGAATATTACATCTTATACCTCTTATCGACGAATTATATACCTCTTCTCGACGAATCTTGCTACGCGTTTGAATAACGAAACTACCGCTTCATATTATATATCTAACGGCTGCAAATCTTGCTACCGCTTGAGCTGCACGCCTGCATTTCCTTATCTTATGCTGACCCAAAACTGTTTCAATGCTGACCCATATATTTTATTCTGTTACAATGCTTCCCTTCTGATGAGTTTAGGAATTCCAAGTCCATAATCTTACAGTCTGATGCAAGATGCAGTTGCAGATCACTTGCTGAGGGTAGTTTCCTATAACTGGACGATCCGAGATCTTCCTCAAAAACTTGTCCAATCGTCTCTTGAATGTCTCAAGGGTGAACTCCCCTTTCTGAGCACCTTTGGGAAGGCAGTAAACTGTCTTGGTCCTACCACGGACAGTGATCCTTCACGAAAAGTCTGTACTCAGGCCGCGGCTCGGTTATTAACACGTTGACTACGATTGCTCCATCTTGTACTATTATTTCATTTTTTGTACTTTTTTTTAAGCAGCGTTGCCAGACGGTCATTTTTTCCGGACAAATTCCGTGATTTAGTTTTTCTCAATTGCGTTGGCCGGCTAAAATTTATGATAAAACAATGTTTCTTAATTATGGTAACAAATTAATCTGACAAACTTTAGAAAAGCAAAACTGGTTGGAATAAATAGAAATTATGTTCATGGTGCACGTTTCATAAAACTTGATGCACCTTCAGGAAAAATCATTGGTATGTATTCATCATTGTCTTGTTTGAGAAATTTTTCCGATCTAAATGTTTCTATTTTTCAGTCATCAACGAAACTTTCACACAAGAAGATGATTTGTGTAGTACTATTTTTAGTTGTGTTTTAATTTTTACTCAAATCTTACGGTATGAAGATTCTGTAAAAGATTCAAGTCGTTCCGTATTATCATGTCCAAGAAATGAAAACTAAGCTGATATAAATACAATGTTGGATAATAAATTATGTTAGTTGCGTTCCTAAAATATTAGCAGGCCTTGCTTGTATTTTTATTTTATTTATCAATTTATTTGTTCATGTGAATTTTTTTTTACTTCATGGATTTGATGGCAATGAAGGTCCCTGTATTTTTCATGTTATATCTTGAATCGATATTATTTGTTTTATGAATCTAATACTATTAATATATTTTAATTACGACTTATATAATTTTATACTGTGACTGGGGCAGGCAAACGAGGAGCTGCGGCAGCAGATGGAGGAGCAGCAGGAGCAGAAGTTGCTGCTCGAGAAGACCCGCGATGAACTGCAGCAAACCAAGCAAGAACTGGTGAGCTTGCACAGGAGCTAGCGAGTCATCTTCTATTTAATGTTATTCACGTTTAACACTTGTAATTAGACAAAATAAATTACTAGCGTCTTTTTCCTCTACAAATTAATATTAAAAAAAAGCAAGAAAATATTATTTGCAAATGAATTTTAGGGAATTCCTCTAAGTAATCTAACTTCGCCTAAATTACATTCCGGGCTGCGCTTTCACCCTCCACTATCTTGCAATCGTTAGCTTCTGGCGCAAAACGTCTTAAAATGATAACAAAGGCAATTTAATATCAGCAATATGATCATTCGTTGATCTTTTTTTTTCCACTGAATTTTTCACAGAATTAGTATATTAATATTATAATTCTCAAAGCAAGATATTTTATTTCAGGAAGAAGAGCAGTCGAAATTGGTCTCTGTTCAGACGTCACTGGACGCTTGTCGTGAAGAGCTGCGCGTGGCCACAGAGCGCCAGAAGGTCCTGAACGCCGACAACAAAGTCCTGCAGGACAGCGTGCGCTCCCACCTGCGCTACTCGGCGCAACTAAAGCTCAAGCTGGTCAGTTGGTTTACTCGATAAGTAAGATCAAGCTGGTCAGTTGGTGTGATCAATAAGTAAGATCAAGCTGGTTAGTTGGTGTACTCGATAGGTAAGATCAAGCTGGTTAGTTGGTGTGATCAATAAATAAGATCAAGCTGGTCAGTTGGTGTGATCAGTAAATAAGATCAAGCTGGTCAGTTGGTGTACTCGATAAGTAAGATCAAGCTGGTCAGTTGGTGTGATCAATAAATAAGATCAAGCTGGTCAGTTGGTGTGCTCAATAGGTTCAAGCTGGTCAGTTGGTGTGATCAATAAATATGATCAAGCTGGTTAGTTGATAGACTCGACAAATAATTTCAAACTGGTCAGTTGTTAGACTTAATAAGTAAGCTAAAGTGGGGCCGTGGTGAACTATATAAATAAACTCATGCTGGTCAGTTGGTATACTCAATAGGTTCGAGCTTGTCAGTTGATTGACTCAACGAGTTAGGGAAGTCATGGTCACGCAAAACGTTGTAGCTTATTCTCAGGAAGTCATTGAATTCAAGTGACAAAATTCTATTTGAATTGAAACTTCAAAGATTAATTACTCAATTACAGTTTTATTGAAACTTTTAAAATGTTAGATTACGGAGAATGTGTATCTTGGTCTTATAGTTAGTTCTCAAGCTCAAACTGATTACTCAACGCAGGAGAAGTCAGTAAATGATGGTTATTAAAATATTAATTTTTTTGTGAGTCGTTGAAAATTACAACATTGAAAATGTATGTTGATTTTTGTGAGTAACTAAGAATAAGTAAAATGCAATTTCACTGGAATTTTGCGGCGGCTAAAATTAGTTGAAAATTTGTTAAAAAAAGTATCTGATGCTTAGAAATTTTCTGTAGAAAATTTTAAATCATGAGTAGTTCGAGGCTATCTAATTTTGATTGAATATTTTCTTGGAGTCATGTTAGAACATGCACGAATTGCCCATTGTTGATAATCATAATAATCGGGTTTACTGACAGCGTAAAATATTAGGTAAAAATTAATGTATATTATATAGGAGTAATCAAAATTGTGTTTGTCTTGCTAAAACAATGAAAATAAAATGTTTATGATACTTGCTTATACTGCCATGAAACAGTATCGACTACTATTGGGAGAAATCAGAACCGTCACGGTCGTCAAGCTAACACTTAATCATCACACTGTTGCAATGCACTTGAGCATGGCATTGTTGCAGTGCACTAAAGCATAGCATTGTTACAATGCACTTGACCATTGTATTTTGCAATGCACTTGAGCATGGCATTGTTTCAATGCACTAAAGCATTGCATTGTTGCAATGCACTTGACCATTGTATTTTGCAATGCACTTACATTGCATCGTTGCAGTGCACTAAAGCATTGTATTGTTGCAATACACGTGAGCATTGCATTGTGGCAATGCACTCAAGTATGGTATTGTTGCAATACACTAAAGCATTGCATCGTTGCAATGCACTTGAGCATTGCATCGTTGCAATGCAAGCAGAATTGTTGCAGCACTCTCATGACCTGTTGTGTTGCAGCGTGAGGCGGAGGGCGCGTGTGCTGGAGCAGAGCGTGTCGCCCGCCAGCTAAGTGAGCAATTTTTTATACTGTATCTATCATGTAGAGTATAAAATAAGAGAATGTAAATTATTGACTGCATTCGGATGTTGAAAGTTATTTGCCTTTTTTTTAGAGATATTGAAAACTGGAGAGAAAGTTTGAGTAGAGACTTGAAGCAGGAAAAAACGTTGTTGACAATCCCTATTCAGCGCGTTATATATGTGCATTTTTTAGTGTTATCTTGCTTCATGTGTTCAGTGTCAAGTTATATCATTATTAATTTATTTTGTAATATATTATATGATTTGTACTATTTTTGTTCTTGAATTTTTTTCTATTTTTTTAAAACCAGGATCAAAACATGGCAGAGTCCATGGAAGCGCTGTTGAATCTCCACGACTCAGACAGCGTTGATGATGAAGAGGACAACGAGGCGCGTGTTGACGTTGTTGAAGTGCCCCCAACAATTACCGTTGCGACACAGGGCAGTGCTTGCGATGCCGCGTCTGTTGCTGCTTCTGACCTGCCTGTGAATCAGGAGAAAATCGCGGAAAACATCACTGGTTCAGCCGAAGAAAAAGGGAACACAGAAGGTCAAGAAGTGGAGGTCGAAAGGTGTGATCCAAGCGGAGCTTCGTCCGAATCACGTGTTGAAACTCGGCATGTCAGCTCTGTTTCTGAGGTATCTATTCAAGATGCTGGCCCATCGTGTGGAAACGAAAGTGAAGGAAAAATTGAATCCTCAATAGAACAGGCAAAGAACGTGAATGCCCAACCAAAGGTATGTATTGCAAGTATTATTTACCTACTACTTATTATTACGTATACTAAAAAAAACATGAATATAACGATTGATCTGATCGATGTCTATAAAGCCTGGAAAAAACACAGACTGGTCTGGCTCATACTAGGTCTACTTGATTGACTTGATCTTAAATTGAGTGTATAAAGATTAAGTGCTGGTATTAAATTCTATTGTCAAACCTCACTCAGAGGAAATTTCCATCTAGCATCTCCTGAAAAATAATGTTCTACTGAAATCTGTCCTCCAAGTGTCATTTATGTTTTACTTCAAAATTGAGCGAAATGCTTGTTCTTTTCTAGGAAATGTCAAAACCTGAGGAAGCTGCTAACGGGTCGCTCGCAAACTCCAAAGATGTTAGCGGAAACGCGTCTGAAGACAACAACTCGATGCCGAAGAAAATGCCCGATGCTACTCAAAAAAAGCGCAGTAGTGACTCGCAAGGTCCTAGTCAGGACACCGCTCACAATCACGGACCTTTTGGCTTCAATTTCCAACATCAGTGGCACCCGTTCATGGCTGCAGGTCCTCAGCCTCCCCTATTCAATCCCCCACCTCCTCATCCTCACCCTCCTCCGTTCTATGGCCCTGTGTTCACATCTGGCCAAACAGCGCCAGTTTTTTTCCCGCCATCGATGCCATATCACAGCGCCCCAGATTTGAGGCGTAGTTTCCCGGGCCCAAATAACTCTCCGGATATGCCAAACTCGCAGCCAATACCCATGCCGTACCCTCCGTTGTTCCCCATGCCGCCTCTTTCATTCCCTTTCATGCCTACACCACCACCACCACCGCCCCTACCACAGGCTGACAGTGCACCCACTGAAGAAGACGGGCTTCCCCCACCACTTGTTCCCAACCCCACTGAGAGTTCCCTCCATGCTGCTCTCTTGAGCACCATCGGCGCCGCTGCCCAGATGGCCTCAAGTGCCAAAATTGTTAGTGACCAAATTTCTGGTGCCTTCAGTGGAAACGCCACGGGTGCTGGCGATGCACATGCCCAACAGAGTGCCTCAAACTCTTCATCTGAGGAACAGGGTAATGCCGGCCCCAATTCGCAGGAACAAACTGCAGGGAATGAGCAGCGTCAGAATAACCCGTCCTCGTCAAACGGACAGTGGCAGTTTCAGCACGGACCCAACAAGAACGGTGGCTATGGGTGCTCGTTCTCGAATGGTCCTGAGGGCATGAGAGGCCATTTCTCTGCTCACCATAACGTCCATCGTGCCGGTGCATGTCATTCTCACCGCCGTCACGCGCCCAACGCCCCCGGTAACCCAGGACGCCCTCCTTTCTGTGGTCGTTTCCACGACCGCTTCCGCCCTCAGGGATGGCCCTTCGAGCGGGACTTCCTTCGTCCTGGATTCCGTCAAAATGTTCGTCTGGGACGCATGTCTGCAGGTAACGCCGGTCAGTCTTGTGTACATTATGTTCTATACATTTCATTTGTATACGAAATGCATGTTCTTTGTAGGTATCGGTTACAGAATTATTCGGTAGGCTTTTGTCGTTTTTATTTATGGCCGTAAGTGTATGAATGTTCAAATAGCTTTTTTTTTACTAATCGAGACCTATCGAGGTACGCAAAGCAATTTATCGCAGTGTTAGTTAATCTAAATCACCACTAACTTATCACTTATTGCGTTAGATTCCAGCAATAATAGTTTTTCTCTTAGCCGAAGAAACAATTACTTATTTTTCAGGACGTACTCACATGTTTGATGAGAACTTGGATGAGGACTTCTTCAGAGACGTGCCCAGAAATGCTGCTGCTGAGAACTCGGATTCTAATAACGAAGATGACGGAGAAGAAATTCCTACTGGAGGCAATGCCACAAAAACGGAAACTTTCTCTGGATTTACTGGAAATACCAATGGTACTTCCACCACAACCACTACGGATGCCACTTCTGGTACCACTGAACATGTTCATGTCAACATAAATCTTTCTTCAGCAACTGCTGCGTCCGAGTCTGCTGGCGCTACTCGTGCTGAGACGGAGCACGAGTCTGTGCACAGTTTTGGGGCTACTGCTAACGCCACGCCTGGAACTCCTGCCTCTGCCCCAACTGCTGAAGAAATATATGACGGGTGAATATTAGTTATTTATTCTCTTCTTAGAATCTTTATGGCCGTCGCGTGCCAGGAGCAGAGTTCATAGACCACCCTCCCCAAAGCTAGTAGTTTATAACGTTGCTTTTTCATGTTAGCACCTGTACTCACACCATTTCAATCGATAACGAAGTTGCAAACCGATGCACAACTGAGTTATATATTTAGATTTCTTATTTGTTGAGCTGTGATAATTTTTGAACTTCAATTCATGTTCAGCTCATCGCTTTTATGTATTAATGATGACGTTTGAATTAGTCATACAAAATTCAATAGTTAGTCGTTAATTTTGTGTATTGTTTACTTCAAACGGTAGGAGGAACCGAAACCTTGATACTTACGCAATAGGCAAAATTTTGCGATTGCATGCTGATAATTTATTTCGATGTCATTCTATGCTGGCAGGTGCAGTGCATTATTAGGGTCTTGTATACAAATTTCCGTTGCATTTCGTTTTATTAAATTGATTGCCTTTGATGAAATGAAGAGAATAAATCAGAATTTCTAGCTCTACTATCAAATCCAGATGTTATAAGTTGAAATAGGTACTACCGTATTAACGGGTTATCAATATTATTATGAAATTCTCTTTTATTGCAGCGCTCAGTCTTCTTTGATGATCTTGAACTTGACTTTAGAGAGAACCAGAAAACTTTAGAGGAATCATACTTTTGGATTAAACATAAATGAATAATTCATAATTAAATTTGCCTGCTTTTAAGGTAGAATATAGAACGTATTACTCATTCCATCTTCCAACCTATGAAGAACAAGAATCGTTCTTTAAAGTTACTTCTCTTGTTCTTTGTTTCATTCTTTGAAGTTCCTCTTTCACAAGAATGTTATATACCCATATCATGCAAATGGTTTATTTCCTCATAATTATAATTTCTAGGCACCTGTACTGCCCACTGTGCCCATACACTCTGGACGCCCGCAGCGGAGCGCTGTTCGACGAGCACATCGACTCTCACTTGGAGTACATCTGCCCTGTATGCAGCACGGCGTTCCAGCGCAGCAAGCAAGCCGAGTGAGTCGTGTGTTGTAAATTTCCTTAGCTTAAGATTTATCCTCTAATTGCAAATTACTTTTAGTCTCTTTAAGTGTTAACTACTTATAAGCTCAAAAATGTAAACTACTTATATCTTTTAGGCTAAAGTGTAAACTACTTGAAGGCTCTAGGTGTAGACTACATTTAGGCTCCAAGGTGTAAACCTCTTCTACTGGTAGTACTCAACGAAGTGTAATCCTCAACGAAAATTTACAATAGTTATCATGTTAAAATAATAAAATAAACATAAAACAGGTCTTGTTAAAATAATAAAATAAACATAAAACAGGGAGGGGACCAATAGTATACAGTTCAGTGGTAAGTTCTCGTTCGTAAGAATTCATCCCTCAAGGCATCACAGCTAGAAATATGCAGGAATGAATTTACGTTGGAGATAACGGGAACACCATAGTCCTTGTGTGGTCAATACTGGAAATAATAAACCACCTCGGTGTAAACCTCTACCTCTAGAACGCAAATTTAGATTCATTGCATTTTGTTTCTACTAGCCTACTATGATAACTTGTCTTTTTTGGTGTATTTTAAAGAAATTAACGATGTTAATTTTTTCGTCTGATGCTCCAATTCATGTACAGTTTTGTTTCACATGTAATATATAAAGCCTGACACGCCATTATGGACTTCCAGGTACGAGGCTCACGTGAACGATCATTTCTCTGAAGAAGAGGCGGCAACCGCGGCCGGTAACGCTCAGAACTCGTCTGGACCTTGGGGCAATTTCTCGTGGTCTCGCATGGACTTCGACTAGAAACTCGGGGTCATTCCGTGACATGCTATTACGCTCGATGATATGACGAAATTTCTCTTCAAATCAGACCATAAGTTCAGCCGTGCAATTAAGCTTTTGTATCATCCTACGCACTTTTTGAAAGGATAAGTTGGAATCTTCACCGCAAGTCTCCTACGAGATGAGATTTGTCTGGGGTAAAATTTTAGTTGTATGCGTTAAGTTTAACTTTCTTCTATATCGGAAACTGAAGTTTCTATCTTCATTACTGCTGATTGATTCCCCATCAGCTTTACTTCTCTTCAAGAGAGCTTTTTGGAGATTTGAAAGATTTCTTTTATGTTCCTATCAAGATCATTCGCTAAGATTTGGTATTGTACTCCGAAATTGGCGTCTGTAATTGAAGGAACATGTAATGTCAATTCTAAGGATTCTACCAACGGATATTACCTCAATGGAGTATGGGGTATTTTCCGATGTTGTGTAACTAAAGACCCAAACGGCAGCAAGCATCTAATAAAGCTCCTTTGTCATTTGAGTAATAGTAGTTTGTCCTATAACGGTTGAAGTCGTTTCTTCCCGTTTCTAAGAATGATTTGTTAAAATCGGTTTCAAGAGAATCATTCCGGAGATTTTTACCATGTGTTAATCTCTCTCCTTGTTGGGTACAGGTATGTTCAGCTTCGGATTTTTGTGTTGAATTCTCTGTAGAATTCCTACAGCTTCAAAGTATTGAATTTAGTAAAGGGGGTCGAAAATTGAACTCGTGATCCCCTAACGGAAATCGGAGTGAAATGTTACTTAATAGATGAGGCTCATTGAATGTTTCATGATGAAGCCAAGCTATAAATTTTACATACTGGAAGCATTTCTGTTTTTAGCTAACAGGTTTTCTAGTGCTTAAGAACTTGACTAGTATCCTATGCTAACTACTATCCTATACTACACGCTTTTTTACGTATGTTAATCACAGGTATTTAGTGGCACAACTATTTGACGTTCGATTCTGGATGTTGACGGGTCTCGATTTATTATTAGTTTGTCATCCCGAGACTTTTCGGGACGCATTTATTTGGTTTTCATTAGCCAAGAGATAGGTTTATTATATTAACAGAGCCACGCGGCTACATTCAATGTTAACCTCTCCTATCTTGGAAGATAAGAGTAGTTGCGATATATATTGGACCTAGAATAGAGGAGCAGCACCTATTCATATATAGCCCCCAAAGTGTTGTTTGTGTTCGTTATTCTTACTAGAGCATTATTCTGGTTTTCTTTTGGCATTAATTCAAAGTAACGGTAATTAGCGAAATAGCATCGTTCTTCTGTTTTTAACATAACCTTAAGTTTCGTCGGCTGTTGCTGAACGCTACCGAGCCTTATTCATTTCGCATTCTATTTCTATTATTAAATTGAAGTGGAGAGTTATGTTATACTGCAGGTTTGATATTATCGCTTGTATTTTTAATAGTAAAAATTTAAACCCGTCTTGTTCCTAAGAGGCATACGTAACAAGGCTAGATATCGAACTGAAATAATTAACCAACGGAATTGTCGGCTAATGAATAATCATTTAAACCTTCAACTTCATGGTTAGTGTTCAGTGCTTGTTATTTGTTCGAGTCTGTGTGTTTTATCTCGATTAAGAAGGCATTTATTCCGTTTGCCACTCAACTTGTGCCGTACAGACATTGTATTGTCACTAATGAATTCGTTTCATTTATTCCTGGATGGCGTCTTCAAGAACAAACTGCATAAGAGATCCTTTGAAAATCAAGTTAACTTTCATGTTATCAATACTGCAGATTGAAAACACGATAGGTAAAGACAATTGTAGAGTATTTATATTTAATGACATTTATATAAATAGTCGTATATTTGCAGTTCACGATCTTGAACAGCAAGTTGTTCAAGCCATTCTCCTATAATGGCTATTTACATCCCCTTCTCAGTCTAGGAATCCTGAACTGCACAATCAAAGCGGGATAAAATATTAATGGATAGATGAAAATTTACACAAATTTGACGAAGCCGATCGATCCTTTACTTCTTTCCGTTGTCAGCTACAGGCTGAGGAATTCTGTCCTTGACCATCTCAGCTTCCAGGTCAAAATAACTACTCTTGTTATAGCAGTAATACTCCGAGCATTTGTATTCTCCGCTCTTGCTCGCTCCCGGTCCAACAACTGGAATTGAAAAATGTTTGCATAAGGTTCTTTAGCTGACATGCAATCTTTGCAATAAGTATGTACGTGTATTTGCAATAAGTATGTACAAGTATATAACCAGGAAATTAGGAAACTCCCTGTTAATGATTGTTTTCTACTGGCGTTAGTTTCATTGAAAGGCAGACGTGGAATAACTGATCAACCGCTCACCTTTATCACCAGGGTTAGGAGTTGCAGGAGACTGGTATGGGGGAGGGATGGTTGATGCAGTGGAGGCCTTACTTGGTGCTGTGGTTTTACTACCAGAGCTTGCCATGCATCTTATGACAGACTTGGTGACCCCACGCCCACCACCTCCCTGAATAATTTTAGAATAAAATTAACAATATGCATTTATTACATTTTATATTGTGGCTGAATTTTCCAGCAAGTGCAGTAAAGTGTTTTTATACAAACAAGGGTAAAATTAGATATTTGACTTGGAATGTGCAGCTAATTACCTATGACTTAAAAAAGACTAAAAATTACAAAATCAAATGCTCCAAAATCCAGTCACAACGTGTAGAATAGATATTTTCCCAACTAATTAGCCACTAAAGCTCATTTTGCATTGGAAAATTATCTAAGAAGTTACATAAATCAATCTGAGCAGGAGTGAAAAATATCTACACTAAGAGCTGAAACTCCAGCTTTTTGGTTATTTTTTATATGGCAAAATTTTTGCTAGATGAATAATTCACCATCACATGCATAGTTTATGAAGATACAAGATATTTCACAGCAATGATAATTTAGTAAACTATTGAATTTATAATTTGAATCACATAAGGTGCTTATATCAGTGCCAATCATGGTGCATGACAATAGCAATTGTAATGCACATATGACTGCCAATCATCTAGCATGAGCCATATTGATCGTAAAAGAAAATGGTGAGCTATTGATTTGAAAATAGAAATTAGCAACTCCAGTCTGCTTCATTTGCACCTTGGCATCATTGCAATAATTAATATGGTGCCCACAAAACCTCAACCTGTGGTTGTGGCATACTTTGCAGTTCAGGATATAGTACCAATATTTCCACAGCCCACCACTGGCAACAACTAGAGCTTTCCAACCATCTTTAGAGCTGCAAGATTCTTGCTAGATGAATTATCACTAATTTGATTGTAACTGAAGTCAAGTGCATGATTATTATTGATTGCATCAGGTGCATGATTGTTAACTTAAGTCAAGTGCACGAGATTCTAAAATTATTGAAAATTTGCCTCTTTGGAGCACGGTATATATATATTTGATTTAGAAAAATTATGCAGAAGCCAGCTACAAATGGGACAAAAATGGCCATGCTTGATGTTGATCTCACCTCAGTGACCTCATCCATTTTCAAGACCCTTGCCTAATTTATCCATAAAACATAAGAAAACCAGCCCATTTTTCAAGATAATTCTTAAAAATAACACATAAAAATATATTTTTAGCTATGAAAATTCAACAAAAAGTTCTGAAAATTTTATCTGATCTTTCAAATAGGCTTAGTGGTTGCACAATTTTAGCAACAAGTTGGGAGTTTGAAAACTTATGGTAATGGTAGATTACTGGTAGATGTAAAATTTTACAAACAAAATGTTACAAACTTTTGTGCATGTCTTCATTTCTATAGATCCATCCCTTTCTGCAAACCATTGAGAACGATCTTAATCTTCGCCCTTTATTAAATTAACGTCATTATTATCAATTCTAATAATTTTATTCAAAGCAGTAATATAGCGGCCAGGCTGGTTGCGACTTTTCTCAATGCTTCCGAGGCTTTCCCTGCAGCAAAGCAGAAATCTTGCATCTCTGGCCGGCAACAGACAGATTCACTTCAACCTTCACACATTCAACTCGTCCCTGTGTCGTCTCGCGTGGTCTATGCCTGTTCGTTCTGCGTAGTCCCTACTCCGGGAGATGACAGCACTCAGCCTCTAGCCGGTTCTTCAACTGGACAACTCCTCACCTGCACGGCTGCACCCAGAAGGCCTGTTCTTCCCATAAAGAAGCTGTAAGTCATTAAATCAGCCTGTGCCGCTCTTAATGACTGCTTCTGGAAGAGCCTTAATCTCGCTCGCTAAGTTCCTCTTAAGAAATTGACATTCATCAATGATCCAATTTCAATTACATTTACCTTTCATCAAAATTTCTAAAACGTTTCATATTTGTTCCCAGTAATTTACTGAAAGCTTTTCTAAATAATGTAATCTACTTCTAAGTGATAATTGATTCTAATTCAAAAGTGATAATTGATTCTAATTCTAGAGTGATAATTGATTCTAATTCTAAATCTGAACTGTAAGTGATTCTAAATTCTAAAATGATTAACCCTTAATCTCATAGGATGAATGTCATGACGAGATGTTCATGATAACGAAGGGGGGCACAACTTTCCTCTACTTCTCCAGTGGATGGGCAACTCCAGCTTTCGTTTTTTTTTAATAAATTCAAATTTGAATGTAGAGTTTGTCGTTTACCTGTCCTTGCTATGAACTTATTTTCATCAAATGTCCCTTGTTTTCTCCTATGAAATGAATTAAATAAAAATTCAGTTCATTATATATGCAAGATTCCCACCAGACAAATTACCTCTTATCCTATCTAATTTTTAACAAAAGTGCACAATCAGGCTGCCAGGCAGCAAGATCCCAAATGTATTAAAAATTTGTCATGTTGAAGTAGCAAGATTTCAGAAACAAGTAGGAAAAGTCCAACCTGAATTTCAAGCTGATTGGGCAGAAGCCACCATTATTTGGACTAAAATGCCAGGGTATCTGGCCAATTTAATCAATTTTCAAGGCATTTTCCCAATTTAGCTATTTAGTAAAAAATATCAGAAATGGGCTTTTTATATTTATATAAAATATTTAAATAAGCAGAAATTTTCAAAAATCATTGTGAAATGATTGTTTTTGTCTACAATTTTAGGAAACTTCCATTTATTATTCCAAATTGGGTTAAACTTAAAAGTTATTGATTTCTATGAATAAATGAAATCAAGTTAGGTACTTCAAGTAGGAATCAGAAAAAAACTTTTTCATAATTCATTCATAAAAGCTTAACTAGCCTAGTCTTACCAGAGTACCTACCCAAAAAAAAGTAACGTTACAGTGACTGACAGACTCAGAGTCTCAGACTGACTGACAGCATTATTGATTTGCCAGTTGAACAAATAGGTATTGATTAAATACCTAATTCAAGCCGTCATGAATATTGCACTGCAATCAACTACAAAAAAGATTATCCATATGCATTAAAATTACAAAGATAGTGAAGAATGGCATTATTGGCATAATACCTTACCAATAATCGGAGCGCTTGCATGGTTCAACTGCGTACTATGGCCTGTGAGTCCTTACTCCGTGCACTTGGGAAGTTGGGAGGGTTTAGCGAAGTGCACTTTCTGTCGAGTGTCGAGTGCCAAGAAAATTTTCCGGTCGGTGTCGTGCATTTACAATTCCGCAATATTTTTACTACCGTTAGTACCGTACGAGCTGAAATCAGCTGATGGGTGCAGTGTGCCTGTGAAGAGCAGAAGAGATGCGCTTCAAAAGTCATCCTAGTGGATGAATAATTAGTATAAAAATTTCCTAACGAATTCAGATGAACAAATTATTTATCAAGTCAAAAGTTTCTTTTAAACTACAACACTTCATGCGTTTCGTACATAATATAAGAAGGGAATTTGTTTCATTATTTGGATTTGGGGTGTGATGACCCTGAAAATTACTTTATTTCGGCTGGCTGTCACTCGTCACTTATTTGTTATTATTAATAGGAAGAAAGGGAAAAGAGGCTACGTAGAGAAGGCATTATAGAATAGAATAGAAAAATGAATAGAATAGAATGCATTATAGCATAGGCAAGAGGATAAAAAAGTTTGTGTTAATAGTAAAAGTCAAACAAGAGAAAGAAGTTCAAGAAGAAAGTTATTTGGTCTATTATATATTGTTATGTCTCACTTATTGAATTGTTGTTCAAGGTTCATATCAAATATTGGTATCCTTCAGACCCCAAAAAAATTTTCGTGCCCTATTACATTATTATTATTACAGTTAATATTATTCTATTCTTTTTAGATACCTTATGTCCTCTCTCATTCGAACCTCTTCTTCTCCCTCGTTCTCTATGCACTTTCTAAAATCGCTTTTCACTCAGTCATGGCAGCAGTCACTCCTGCTTAAAGACCCGCTATCATCGCAATCCATGCGTCTTCCGTTCTCTCACACCATCACCTTCACTCCTCTCATCCAATATCACTCTCCTCAATCTCAGCGTCTCCCTCTCATATGCATCACATTCCATCATCAGATAAGACTATAAGGACTGTTGCCGATTCTGAAATTTGCAGATTTTCGCATCTTGATGAGAGTCTCGAACATGCAACTTACTGCTGATAAGACTATAAGGACTGTTGCCGATTCTGAACATTGCAGATTTTCACATCTTGATGCGAGTCTCGAACACGCAACTTACTGCTCCAATATCCACTATACTTAACCGCCGGCCACCTTGCTAATTTTGCCTATAAAATTTGTCGCATTTGGCCAACAGCTCGCTGCTACAATTTTGGTGCTATGGGCCTTATAATAACTCGACCCCCCTAAGGGCATCGATCAAAACTGTACTAACATGGGAGTTTTACTTACTCCAAACTTACATATTGAAGCATTTTTCATTAATGAATACTAAAGCAACAAAAAGTAAGCATTTCAAAACCCTAGGAATAATGATCAAGTAAAAACCGTGTTTTTACCATTCATATGTATTTCATTATCATTCGTTTTTTGAACATTCTGAATACTAAAATAAGATTTAGCTTTTCATATATTAATGACAGCTGCTCACGAAAATTGAACAGATATCAATGAGCTGAAAATTTCTGGGAAATTTTTCTCAAACTGGACGCTGGATACGATACATTACCTGTTCATATGAGAATCATATTCTTTTCTTCTCTCTTTCTCATGTTTGTAAGTTCTTTTGTAACATTTCCACGGGAAATTTTTTTATAATAATAGGCGTCCTTTTGAATCGTTAGTTTCAATTTCTCAAATACTTCCTAAAGTCTATTCGTAATTCGTTTAAATTGAGATGAACACCAAGAAAGTTGTTAATGATAATTATTATTCGCTGGTCTTCAACAAAACATGCACTAAAGTAAAGAACGATTTCGGCCCAACTTCAGCAATAATGTCCAAGTGTAGACGAGTATCTATGCTACGAGCCTTTCATCGCGTCTCCCACATAAAAGTACCAGGATAATTCGTTCCTGAAAACGGGATTTATTGCAGCAGGTGGAAAATTATTAGAAGTCAATCAAACTGTGGCATCTACTTTCGAGAGCGTATAATTCCGCCGTGCATTTTTGCTACTAATAGCAGAATGGAATGATGATTGTGCAGACTTCTTGACTATGAGATATTCTTCACAACGCTATGAAATAAGACGAGATTAACTCAGAAATCGTTGAGAGTGAACGAGTAAATGTAAAGAATCACCAGTTCCCCCAAACCATCGGCGCCTCAACTGATAACCGTCGACAGGATCAAAAAAGATCTCAATTGATATTTTCGGAAGTTATGGCAGAAAGTAAATCATCTTTGTAATAGAAAATGCATCTGTACAAAGGACCTGAAGGCTGTGATAGCCAAGACTAAGTTGCATTCCCCCAAGGTGAAATTGGTAAATCTAACATCGAGCTGCAGATGAATGATTCGTTCCAATAAAAAACGGCAACAGGAAGTCGGGAATAACATTCAAGTTTACGTGGGCATGACAGCAAAAATAGTTCGGTTAAGTCTTCCACCTCGATCAATAGAAAATCTACTTTTCCCAACGAAAATCAAGCAAATTTCCAATCGAAAGTTTTGACAGCGGACTCATACAGAAATCTGCCATAAGATCTCTTACTCGGAAACCTTTCAAAAACCTCTTCAGTCACCGACCACAACGGATCGCCGGAAAAATAGGACAGCGAATACTAGAAGTCCAAATAAGAATAAATTAACGGCTTTGAATATTACCAGCAGCGTCGATAACCAGAACAAGCGTCATATCGTGCCTAGAACTCTTCAGAAGTGCTTGAAAAACATCCCAACTTGGGGCTAACTCTCAACAACAGAACCAATTCTAGCGGTCATACTGGTGAAGAAACAAACGGCATAAATGTTTCTATTAACGTAAAACTGTAAGATATTAACGATCGGAAATCTCTAGAGACGAAGATAGAGTAGCCACATCTCTGGTCGGAGCGCCAAATTGTGAGACAGCAAGGAACATCGCAACGCAAGGCCAATGATAATATTCTGAGGCCAGGAGTGATGAAGGAAAATAATGTCGATGCTCATAATATCAAACGTTATGGGCCAAGTGACCTGAAACAAAATGAGAACGCTTAAAACAGTGCCAGTATAATCTCAAAGCATGGAAAAAGCGAAGAGACTTCTCAATAATAGCCACAAAAAGCCATGATAGGAACGTTCAGGAAAAAAAATATACGAGACCTTCCAAAGTTCTCTGTACAAGAAACGATTCCAGAAATGAGTCATTCAGTTAATGGCACTGGAGGTGGTCATGCGATCCATCAGCCTGACATCCCGGCAAATGTGGACGGTTTGGCGCAATGTCCACAAGTTCAGACAGAAAATGGAAAGAAAATCGTACATGGACTCTTCTCAGTACAACCCATTGTAGAGCATCAGTCCCGTCCGTCGTAATAAACTTACCGACAAACTTAAACTCCATGCCGAAGATTCCCTAGTGAATGCGCCTATCGAGACGCTAAGCAACGCTTCGGGGGTCAGTGGATGAACACACTCACGGACTTGACCAAACTCATTGATGTAGTGCACGGTGCACAGCAAATGGAAGTCCAAGAGCAGAACAAAGACTTGTTCTCTGCTACTCAAGCGCCTGTCAATTCTAACAAGGACATTCAGGAATTAAAGGAAACTGTGCATCAAAACGAATTGATGATAGAGAAAATGTTTTAGAAATAGCTACAAATGAATGACGCGCTGTTTAAATCAAGAAAATCAAGAGGCGCACTGAAAAGTGAAGCAGTCTAATATGAATGGCCTCAAAACTAGGATGACGTAAATGATTTCCCCGTAGATCAACCGGACATTCAATGTGGATCTTATGAGGGTATTGAACGCTAATTCAGACCGGGAATACATTCAATTCATGGACATGGAGCAAGAAATTAATCTCACCCGACAGCAATAAGAAGCAACGCACCACCGATGATGAGCGACCAAAGAGGCAAGCGTTTTCCTCACCCAAAAACGGTCGCATTCAATTCAAATTTTGTGAACTAATCTAACCCATGTGGCGGCAAAATTTGCAATAATCGTGATTATTAAATTCGAAAGAACGAGAGAGCGTACCGTCACAACAACGAAGCCAATAATGGAATCCAGTAACCTTGGAATACATGTAATTGTTAAAAGCAAGTGAGGCGTTCAAACTCACGTTCCCGGCACGAACACAAGTCAAACTATCACGGCGATCGCCATGTTGGTAGATCGGGTCTGTGCCAACGCCATTTGGACGAACCATAGTTCTGGGCCGGTCAGAAATTCGATTTGGGTTCACATGAAATTGGAGACAACCAGAGTTTCGACAACGCGGGCAACAGAACAAGCGGATATAGTAATTATAGAAAAAGGCAAGAACGAAGAAATGGGATGGTTTAGTTTCACACAAGTAAACCATAGGCTCACATGGGACTGAATGTAAGCGAGGAAATGCCAAATCCCTTTACGAGGAGCTAGCAGTCAAAACCGAGAAAACTATTTGGCATTCCTCGACCTTAGAGACTCCGAGGCTTCAAGTGCCCTGAAATTACGCTCAAAAATACCGGTATGGTGCAAATTTACCCCAGCGGTTATGTGGTGCGGAAGTCTTATAAGTCGGACACTAAGTTAGACTGCAAAAATCCAGCCATGAAAGAGGATTAAATGCCACTAGCTCGCAGTGAATACCACATGAAAAGCCGACGCTACGCATTTTGAAGAAAATTATTTAGACGGAATTGTGAAATTTCCAAACTTCAAAATTTTTTGATATAGTCAAAAATGTGTGAATTCTCTAATAGTTTGTATATGGTGTTATTTGATTTTGCAATATTAAATGATAATAAAAATATGTTCGATTCAACAAAAGGTTTTTGGGTCATTCAAATTCACGTACTGTAAGTCAGAAATACCAATATGTGGATTTGAAAAAAAATCATTATTCCGAAAATTATGAACAATATTTAATACAAAAATCATTTCCCTCTACCTGATTGCTTGATTTTGCCCGCTGGACAAAAAAAATATTTTTGCATCCTGTGGGAACCTAAATCGATTTTCGTCACGGCCCACAGCTTTATGGTGGACTCTGGCGCTATGATACGAAAGTAATTTCCATATAATCTCGCCAATTTTTTCGCAGCGTTTTCTGAACTCAATTCCTGAACGTTTATCGACCACATATGGCCCTGCCAAGAACCTATCAATT